TAAATCTAGCTTTATTGAGTTCGATACCGCTTCAGACGCTAACCAAGTCAGCGCTGTAATGATTTCTCCAGCGTGAATGGAGATGTTTGTTCCATTTATAGCTGCATGACGCAGGTGTTTTGTGAGGACTCCGGTAGACCGTAATGACCTATTCACTCCATCGGTAAAAAACCTCGCTCACTGAAACTGTATTCATTAGAACAATCGAGAAGAATATGAGGCGAGTTAAAACTGTATTTTTCAACATATAAATAATTGGACTTACCCACATTTTCGACAGTACAATTGTAAGACTACACTGCCTTTCCTGGTTGGTCTACTTAATGAAACATCACATGTACCTACCATAATTTCCTGCTAGATTGATATATTGATATATGTTTTAACAGTAGCGAAATGGTTTTAATATGCGTAAGATGAACGTGAGGCATTTATGAAGCGACGGTCACAACTCGCCGTACGTGCTTCTGCGTGCTGTCTACGTGCAAAAACGTGGGCAATCGCACGGCATCCGTGCGTGGTGAGTACCACCTCCGTACGGAATCCTACGGATTTGGGAGCACGCAGACACGCCGTAGAACTTTAAGTGCATGTAATACTTTTTCTACGTGCGGTCTGCGGATTTACCACCCGTGCGTGCGAGTACGTGCGACGCGCGTGCCCCGTACAGCCTATGAGCGTGCAACGTACGGACTCCGTGAGTCTAACTTCACTATTCTCACGTGCAATTGCTGTACGGACAGCGCACGAAGCATGTGCGTGCCACGCACGGTGCTTGCGTCATCCGTGCTTACTCCTCACTTCCCAGTTGACCTGCTCAATGACCACGCAGAACACACGTGCACCATACCAGGTGCTCCGCACGTGCAACGCACCTGATTTCTACAGTATATAAAGACGACTTGACCGGCGACTGCCAACTCGTCTCCAAGATGCCCAGGAAGGCTCAGAAGAAGACTACCAGACAAGACCCAAAGAAACGGGCCGCGGAAGACACCAGGGCGGCTAGTGATGATGAAGTTAACAGGAGGTGCACGCACTTACAACGTGCGAGTGAGTAAGGAAACCGTGCGTACGCCGCACGTGTAGGTACGGCCTGTACGCGGCAACGTAGCAATCACACAGAGATCGTGCGTTGTAAGCACGTACAACTCGCTTACCACTTGCGCAACGTACGATGCACGCAACCGCTGACGGCCAGGCGTGTCGTGCAGACCACGTACGTACACCTTGCGCAACCGTGCGAGTGACGTACTCCCTCGGCCGGCCACCCTACGTTTGCAGAAAAAACGTAGCAGACGTAGCCACGACAAAAACGTACGGACAAAAAGCACGCACGGCGAGTTGTGACCGAGGCTTAAACTGTAATTTCCAACACAACAAATTACACTCACCCAAATTTTCGACTGTACAACTCCAATCTTTGTCAAGGAATGAGCAATCCACCGCTTTCGTGGCATTACAACCATCCCTCAACAGAGACGGGGGGCGCCACATACTTTCTGCAACCTTTGATCCACTGCTCACGGAGTCACGTGTGTTATCTGTGTGACGTCACGGAAGCGGTGGTTTGCTCATTCCTTGACAAAGACTGGAGTTGTACAGTCTTGAAATTTAGTTGGAAATTACAGTTTTAAATTAAGTGTAAATATAATTTAGCCAAAAAAGTACCATTGTATGGTTGTTTCGAGTCCCCACAATAAACCATTGATTGATTGAATTGATATGCCGGCCTCTAATTCCTGCTGGCTCTCGGCCAAATTGTGGGACTTTCAAGTTCACCTCATTTTCCGTATCTGACCTTTTTAAACCTCCTTCAATTCTACATGCGAATCTTCCACCCACGTGCTGTCAACCTACCAGCATACAGACAAACCCACATCCTTTTGCATATAACAGAAAGGTAAAAACAGGACGTGAGATAACCTTTTCCTGAACCTTTGACCTAACTTCCTTGAGCTTGTGGAAATACAAGCAAATACACAGTCAATCTAAAGAAAACCTATATAATACACACACAGGTAACAATCATTCAACATTTCACACACAAATTTCATATAACGGATCATTTTATTTAGGCTTAATTCTGTGAAACACAAGGTGACAGTTACGGTTGGCACGGACACGACATCACATGATCACATCAATTAAACAGCAACAATGGCGATAAACGTATAACTACATTAACTTAGAACAGCGTGTACTAGCTATTGCAACGAGCGATGTCATAAATTATTTGTAAAACATTCTGAAAACCGTACATTTGTATCTTAAATAACGGATTATATACATAATATTCAAATTCGATGCAGTTCCGCTGGTAAAAAAGCAGATATATAAATAAGACCGTACCAAAATATATATACAAATCTATAAATAGATATGGCAGCGTCTGACTACGGATCGGTGACGTCACTATTCTCCGTGTACCAATTCGCAACCTTGGTACTTCCACCTGAAACACATGAAAACAGTTATCAGTAAATGGGACATGAAAGGTACCACATTAATATCAATTTAGAGTAAGATTATCACTGTTTACTGCAAAAATACTTTTCTATCACATTTGACTTCCTTGCTATAGGGTTTCCACAGCTGTGTGGCCCAAGGGAGAAAACGGAGATATGCACCGCCCTGTACACAATGTGTCATTAAGCTTTTCTCCACTGGTTTGAATCCATGCTGATCTTTTTTTTTCAAAACCCTTCGGTGGTATTAGTATTATGGACAAGAACCTGTCCTCAACAGTCGTGAAGGAGGTCGGTCTTGGTTGGCTGACTGGTTGACAATCAAATTTCACTCACTCAAGATCCACACAAGTCTCGACCTAGTCTCGTGTTCTCGCGAGACTAGGTCACTCCGTGATCAAGATGTACAGTGGACATCGAAAATTTGGAGGTACGTGTTTCTACCTTTCAAAAGAGTCACTGAGGGAATATACTACTAACTGATAATTCTACGTGACTGATAAACCTCTTCAACAAATTTCACTCAATTTAACACAAATTTGATTCCAACTTGAAGGGCTGCTCCTAACTACCGCCAACCTTTGTTTCTTTCTGGTCAGAAGAATGTTCTGAATGAATAGCAAGTTCTTTTTATCACAACCATTTATTTTTCACTAGCCGACGTTTCGATGACCGTCTGTCATCTTCATCAGGGCAATTCTGACTGGTTTACTGTGCACTGACACTAGATATTAATTGGTGCACTTAAGCTATTACTAGCTTAAGTGAACTATGTAACACCTTTAGTGCACTATGCACCAAGTAACATCTAGCGTCAGTGCACAGTAAACCAGTCAGAATTGCCCTGATGAAGATGGCAGACGGTCATCGAAACGTCGGCTAGTGAAAAATAGATTAAAATGGTTGTGATAAAAAGAACTTTGCTATTCAGTCGTTTACCAACCTGATGAAATTATTTACGGAAGGTTCTGAATGTTTGACAGGGACTTGAAGAAAAACAAAAGAAGGAAGTAATATAACCCTTACCCGTCATGCCGCACGGCGTATACAGCTTCTAAACATCTTCGTCTCCTTGGCAAGAATCCCGCGGTGAGGGCGGGACAGGCAATAGTGCGATCTGGAAATGAACAGAAAACCGCAAAATGTTTTTATAACTTTGTCAGTAAAACTACATTAATATTTGTCCTATTATCCCCACTGTGTTTTTCGGGTGCTGAATCGCTGTCTTTTTAAATAAATGTCGTTACAACTTTGCCCTCTGTGATTGGCAGAGCCCATGTGTGATTTCAAACGGCCATGGATTCAGAGATTGACAACAGAAGTTCTAGTATCAACAATCCTCACTTCCCACATGGAGGTCTATGCCCTCGTCGTCTGTCACAAGGGTGGTACTTCGAGCCCTTGGATATCACCAGTAACCAAAGTAAGCCATAAGGTGAAGGAAGCCATATACATCAGGGCCCATCACCATACATTGAACCTTGACGGGGGCCGACATCGTCTACCAGATACCTTTGACCCAGTGTTGGGGTCACACTTCAAAGAAGCCACGTGACAAGCTTCACTGGGTCAGTCTACTGAGGAAGACCAGAGTGACTGGTCGAAATCTCTAGGTGAGAGAATTTCTTGTGTTGGACCAAAAGTTTTAACTTTACACAAGTAACCAAAGTACATCCAACATTCAAAAAACAAACAAACAAGCAAACAAACATACAAACATCCAGCTAACTGTTCCAACAGTTCATGGTGTAATATCAATGAAAGAAAAAAAGATTCTTACCTAGTTTGTACGTCAGCCTCTCCGGGCTTCAATTTGACGGACTTGACGTGCAGAGTTTTCTCTCCCGAATCCTCCTCCTCCGCGCCGAACCACGAACTGAACCACCAGGAGGACGATGACGTCACTTCCTCCCAGCGGAAGGATACAGACTCTACCTTGCTAAGGTGAGTCGGTGTTGAGAAGAGAAACTTCTGCGAATGGCCAGGCACTATGCGTACCTGGTTTCCTCTGTAGCAAAAAAAGAAACTCCGTTGACACCAGAGATTGACAGGTAATGTCGATTTCTTTTAATAATTTACAAGTTTCAAGTTCAAGTTTCAAGTTTTATTAATAAAATTAGCCTTGCGGCCAGTGCACAACCAAGCTGAATAACACTGATTTTTTACAATTTTGTACATAGTAAATACAAATTAACAATACGTATACAGACACGCAGACAAACACATTACAAAGCCACACATGGGCACTGAAGTAAAGTCCAGAGAGTCTTGAAAGTCATTACTGCAAAGACTCGTTGTACAGGCATATTGCCTTGTGTAAGAAAGAGTTTTTCAGTCTTTTTGTACGGGCTGCTGGTACTATAAGTGCAGTTACATTTCTTAAGGTCAAGGGCTCAAACTATAACTTTAAAAAGGGAGCTAACAATAATGTAGGATGACTGGCAGTCGTTTCAAGTTCAGGAGAAAACAATTCGAAGCACTCACTCTTTCAACGCGACTTCCTCAGTTTCTCCCTCAGGCCCTCTGAGTTGTAGGTACAGTTTGGCGTCCACTTCCTTTGCTCTGGACACATTTCGAAAGTGCATCTTCACTTGGTAGTGGTAGACTGTAGGTCAATAAGAAACCATATTAGCAAGGACATTCTAATATTAGCTACATCGTTCAACGAGAAGTTACGGTACAACACTTGACCTCTTGAGGTGTTGGGTGCATTTTTATCAAACCTCGAGCTCTCCTCAAAACTTTTAACATAGAGAGAAGTTTATTGCAAATCCATGCCCGAAGGCTAATTGCAAGTTACAAACATAAAAGAACTCTGAAACAGAGTATCAAATAACTTTAAAATGTACATAATGAAATCTAATTGTCTAAAACTATTGCTATGTCTAAAACTATGTCTGAAGGGTTTGACTTCTCTTTTATAAAGTATGGAAGACGTAATGTCCCACCTTTTCTAAAATTTGTGGGTTTTGGGAAGTTAAAAGAAGAATAGTTTTAACTTACAGCTGGGGTGGTGTTTTTATAAATTACTACGTACATGTAGTACTTCGTTTGTTTTATTGGGAACTTCATCAGTGTTACATGAAATTCTTCCTGGAGTCCGCAAGGGTGAAGATGGAACCCGCCTTGTGGCTGATACGAGGGGGGGGGGGTCGCCAGGCCTCCGTCCGGGTGATTTGTAGTAAATCACTAAAGCCCTGGTCACAACCCGCCGTACGTGCTTTTTGTCCGTACGTATTTTGGGAGGCTACGTCTGCTACGTTTTTTTTCTGAAAACGTGGGGAAGGAGTGGCGTTTACGCACGTCACTCGCACGTCACTCGTACGGTTGCGCAAGGTGTAAGAGTGTGGTCTGCACGTCACGTCTGGCCGTGAGCGGTTGCGTGCATCGTTCGTTGCGCAAGTGGCAAGTGAGTTGTACGTGCTTACAACGTACGATCTCTGTGCGATTGCAACTTTACCGTAAGGAGGCCGTATTCACACGTGCTTCTTTCGCACGGTACGTACGGGGCACGCGCGTTGCCCGTACTCGCACGCACGGGTGGTGAATCCGCAGACCGCACGTAGAAAAAGCTTTACATGCACTTAAAGTTCTACGGCGTGTCTGCGTGCTCCCAAATCCGTAGGATTCCGTACGGAGGCTATACTCACCACTTACGGATCCCCTACGTTTGACCACGTTTTTGCACGTAGACAGCACGCAGAAGCACGTACGGCGGGTTGTGACCAGGCCTTAACTTCCAGACAGTAGTACTTGGACCATTGCACACCGGAGAATATCCCTACTCTTTTTCGTAAGATGTGGTGGGTTCTTTAACGTGTGTGGGCTGATGCTCTCCCCAAACACAGGACCTCCTATCCGAAGGATGGCCCTTACCAAAGTTAGATACTTAAACTCAACCTTACACTTAACCTGAGTTAAGTGAGTAAAAGTCGAGCAAATAGTGCCTTTCCCACGTACGGGTACAACATGGGGGAATGGACCCAGGAACTATGGACCCAAACATTACGCCATACGATCCCGCCACCCATATGTTTACTTTATGATGTTTTGTCCAACATATGAAGAAAACAGACAAAAGTTGATGCAATCCATAGCTTCCAAAACTAATGTTACGCTATCTCACTCAAAATCAGATATCTTTAATATGCTCCTTTTATGTCCTACTCAGTTATCAGTGTACGTTGGAAAATTCATATTTGAATCACTACAAAAGCGACACCATATTGTAAATAGCTGATATATCCCCTGAATTACAGAATGTTATAATACTCTTCCTAAGAAAACACAATAGACTAGCTCGTTAGAATCATATTTTAGTATAGTTTGTGTATGTACTATTGTTGTTTCTTTGCCATACATTGTACCAGCTACAGTCGTTGAGCAATAAAGTTGATTGATTGATTGATTGATTGATTGTAAAAAATATGTTTACCTTTGAAAGGATCCTCTGCTGTCGTCTGCAGGTAGAACTTGACTCGTTCCTTATGAGCTACTCTCTCGGCGTCCCAGCCCATCGACCTGCACCTGTTTCCCCTGCAGCTCATGCACGTCCCCTGGCGGAACCTGTCATAATTGTCGCACTGAAAGCCTTGCAGCGGTCCGTTGGTTGCGTTGATGGTGGCGATGTAAAGGTCCGCCGCTCGAAAGTGATCGCATGAAAATGTCACACTTAGTTCTGAAAGGACATTATTAACATTCATAAACCTTCGAATACAAATACATACTCTTTAGTATTTCGTTTTTCAAACATGTCAAAGTTATGGCGACTGATACCGAATGACATTGAAAGGAAGTGTGTGCTGAGTATCAGGGTCGTTGGTTGGGTACTTTTTAAGAAATTGTTTAAAACGTTTTGCTACATTTTGCTAACTTAGGACACACCGACTTAATTTCATGGATTTTTGCCTATTCTTAGTACTGCCGCAAATTCACAATACCAGTTTTGTATTCCTGTGGTTTAGTAGTATTTTCTTTTTTGGTCGGAATTTTATTCGCCCGCGCACTAGTTTGGGGGTCTTCAGAGAATGTCATACATAAAATTAAGTCGGTGTGGCCTTACTATACAATAAGGATCAAGAAGTAATTTTTATTTACATCAAGGCTCGGGCCCATTATTATGCCTGTCGAGCACTCATGTGTTTGTATGCGTTTCCTCCTTAGCGTTAGCATCAGTCCAATTAGTCACACCCACGCCACTAAACCAGCTATTCTCATCTTGCCAGCTTTTTAAAAAATTGTTTAAAACGTTTTTCTACATTTTGCTAACTTACTATATAATATGGATCCTTCAGAGGAAGAGGCCATGTTACAGCCTGGTTGATCGTTGCCACCGTTTGGGTAGAAATCCACATGTCCGATGGCGTCCTTCATCCCCAGCCCCACACCCAGCAGCGTGTTCCCGTCTGTGTGGATGGCGTCAACAAACATGGCGTCACTCGGGTCCAGGTGCACTCTGGGATCGGTGTCCTTGAACCCTGGGTTGGCCGGGTCCACAGCTGAAATAGTAGTGGGTAGTTGTTATGATAAACATTATAGAATGAATAAATGAACTAGAAAGGTAACATTTGCAAAGCAAATGCATAATCAAGGACATTGGAACACATTGGACATGTGTTCCAATGTCCTTGGCATAATGTTAGCCTTCGCATATGGTCTGCTCAAACACATTCACATATGACTAGTATATGGTGACAGGAGCAGAGCAGACCATGAAATTGCAACATAATGTAACCCAACACCAGTCACCATGGTGACAGGCGTCAACAAATCATGTCATTGGTCAGGTCATAGGTCACTGTTTGGAGAAGAAGAAGAGGAAGAAACTGAGCAAAAACAACATGTTTTCCTGTGGTAAACATAATGATGGTATGAATGAATGGAGACCTTTATAGAATATACATCACCACTGGGTTAAGTACAAGGTGAAAAGGTAAGGCATGTTTTTCGATCAGAGGTTTGACTAAGCTTATTAGAAATGCGACTTTGTATGTATTTCTTAGCTGCATGGAGTAGGGAAACATTAATGTTATCATCAGTCTATAAAGTTCAATAAAATAACTGAAGCCTGATGATTACATATCATCATGGAGTTTGACAGACAGCCGCTAGATGGCGTAGTAAATGCACACTAAACCACGTCAACATCGGTCCTCACCTGATATTCTAGCGATGCGTCCTCCCAGCCTGTCCCCGGCGTACCCTGCTACCTGTGCTCCCAGGCTAAAACCGATGATGTGAAAACTGTCTAATGGATTTCCCGTTTTGTCCTGGAAAAGAACGATGCCATCTCACAGTGACGTGAAGTATATAAACAAACAAACAAACATATAAGGCCACACCGATTTAATTTTATGGATGACATCCGCGCGCGCATTAATATTTGCCTGATCAAAAAAAAAAAAAAAAAAAAAAAAGATCACGTCCACCGAGGCTCTGGTCTGGCTCTAGGCCTGGGTAGTCCATGGTAGTTAGCAACAATACAGAGCCAGGCACCCAGGCTACTGAAGCTCCACAACTCAAGAACTTAGTACATGCCTACAGTGCCGATTCATAAATTCCGCAAAAAGCCAGCATGTCGCTATATACTGCCGCAAATTCACAATACCAGCTCTGCATTCCTGTGGTTTAGTAGCATTTTTATTTTTGGAGGAATTTTTTTTTATTCGCCCGCGCGGCGGTCTTCAGAGGATGTCATCCATAAAATTAAGACGCTGTGGCCTAAATGGCAAGGCAAGTGCAATTCAAAATAGGTATGACAAACTGATAACTCAACCGGTTCAGGGAGTGATGCACAGTCTCTTACCATCAACCACTTTATAAGGTTCGCCACCTCGGCGCCGACCAGTCTGGTGTTGCCCACGGCTTGAGAGTAGGTGGCCATGGCGCCCTTCATCCAGTCCACTACGATGACATTAGAGTCGTCCTTCGCTAGGATGGCCTGTACCATTGTGTTTATCCACGGCTCCAGTGTTCCATACATGCTGTACCCGTGTAGGATGATCCTCGTCATTACGCCTGATTCATAGTTAGACCTGTGGGAAGTCATGAATTAATCTTTACTCTATCATCATACTCTATACAGTGCACGAAATCAGATACTCAATTCGTAAACTAGCAGTCTTTAAGTAGACGTACATGTAAATGCACCAATTGACAAGCATTTTGTTATTAACATGTTACAGCTTATTTACCAAAATACACTTAAATTGAACGTATCTTTACTTTTTTTTAAGGGCGCTTGACTATCCATTAAAGATAAAGCATTGATTTGGACCATTTTACACACAGAGTTAGTTTGGTTTTGATAGGGTAAAAACCTGTCTTAGAATCTGCAGCCTAGCAGTTGTGGAATCCAAATCAGTCGCTGTAGCACAAGTTCGTTAGTTTCAATTTCTCTCTTTCCTTTTTTTCTTTGTACCTTGTTTTGATCCCCGTTTTCTATCACGGGGTCAAATTTGATTTAAATTCGATTCGATCGTATAAGAAGGTAAGCGCTCTAAACAAATCTAGTCAGACTGCTCCCAGTCCTCAGCCAACCTTGGCTGATGGTTTGGGGAAGGTTCTGAATGTGTGACAGGGACGGATCTTAAATCTGGGAAATAATAAAGAAATTTTTCCATGAGTTCGCACCTGCGCAGTGTCTCCGGCCGTCCAGGTTTCAGGACATGGCTCTGGACGGGGTTGCTGCGCGTGCGCAGATGGAAAGTTGTGTTGATTCTCTTCCTGGGCTGGGGGAGGGGGATGTCTGAGGAAAATGGCGGCGCGTTACTGAAACAGCCGAGCCTTCCGTAACACACCGACTTCTCCTGAGTACCTGCCGCACCGCTACTCCTCACCTGCCGCTCACCTGTACAACAACAACAACACATACAGGTGTTCACATTGTTCCAAGAACACATACAGGTGTTCACATGGTCCCAACAACACACACAGGTGTTCACATTGTTCCAAGAACACATACAGGTGTTCACATTGTTTCAACAACACATACAGGTGTTCACATTGTTCCAACAACACATACAGGTGTTCACATTGTTCCAAGAACACATACAGGTGTTCACATTGTTTCAACAACACATACAGGTGTTCACATTGTTCCAACAACACATACAGGTGTTCACATGGTCCCAACAACACACACAGGTGTTCACATTGTTCCAACAACACATACAGGTGTTCACATTGTTCCAACAACACATACAGGTGTTCACATTGTTCCAACAACACATACAGGTGTTCACATTGTTCCAACAAAACATACAGGTGTTCACATTGTTCCAACAACACATACAGGTGTTCACATGGTCCCAACAAGACATACAGGTGTTAACATTGTTCCAACAACAAAACACACAGGTGTTTACATTGTTCCAACAAACCATACAGGTGTGCATGTTGTTCCATGTAAGGCCTTGTTCATATGAAACCACCCGAATTGAGATATTTTGTGTCCAGTGTACTATGGGTTTGGCACCCAGGCTACAAGCAATTACCCTTCGGGCATTATTTAACAAAGATATCAACTGATGAAATTCCTCCCCAAAATACAGCTATGTACTTTTAAAAGTGACGGTTATGTAAATAAGGCTGACGTCACATACCTTTCGCCCAGCTGAGTAAGGACAGTAGACACGTGACGATGAAGGCTATGGTCAGGCAAACTGAGGACATGTTCTTCTTCTGTAGGGACGGCGGGGACGAGAGTGCCGCTGGGGGCCCTGGGGACGACGTCTTCAGCGACACAATCTGGATAAACACATCGCAAACATACATATCAACGTGCTGTATATTATTTATGAAAAAATCATTGCTGAACTTGCAATCGTCGCACAATACATTGTTGCGCAGCAAACTAGGAAAATGAAGGGGAAAGTTCATTAATAATTAATTCTAATGACAAATTAGAAGCTGAGATAGTCCAGCACCGACCCCGTGCAAGTTGAATGTTGGCTGGTCCCTAGTTCGAGTAAATGCTTAAAATTAAACACTTGTCGGTCGTTATATAATAATACACTATGCCATTTCAGGATAAGTGTGAACAATCTAGGATGTAAAGTTGTAATCAGACCGTGTACTAGTATTATATATCTAAGCACTGGAAACAAATTACAAGGTAAAACCATCCTTGGTAAAACAAAGAATTCGCACAAACGTACTCTAGAGAGGATATCACAATTTTCTTTTACACAACCAGGGATTCTTCCCTCTATCAGACACCTTTTTCAGGCTTTTGACTGCAGTTCTGCTTCTCGCCGCTACATGTACTAGTAACCGATGTAGGTGGCGCTTTTGCTACGAGAACACAATCCCAAACTTGGGTAAGGTCACACCGACTTAATTTTATGGATGACATTTATGGAAGACCCCCAAACTAGTGCGCGCGGGCGAATAAAAAAATTCCGGCCAAAAAAAAAATGTTACTAAACCACAGGAATACAAAGCTGGTATTGTGAATTTGCGGCAGGACTTGGCGACGTATACGACAAGCCGGCATATGTTGGCTTTTTTTGCGGAGTTTATGAATCGGCACTGTACGTATGTAACGAGTTTTTGAGTCGTGGAGCTTCGGCAGCCTGGGTGCCATCCTCCAGAGTTACCACCGGCTTCGTATTGTTGCTAACTACCATGGACTACCCGGGCCTAGAACCAGGCGAAAGCATTTGAGGACGTGATCTTTTGTTTTTTGGTGTGGTGCCTAAGTTGTATACAGCTCGTGCCGGTTTGTGATTGTGAACCTACATCGGCTACATGCAGCGGCGAGACGCAGTACTCTAGTCAGGTTAGCTCTCAGCTAACGTAAACGTAAGTAAGGTAGGAAGAATCCTTGATTGTGTATTAGAAAATCCGAATAACCCATGTTTTACCAACAGTGATGAACTTATAGGAGACAGGGAACGGGGAACGGTTATGACAGACCTTTGACCGCTGTTTTAGGGGGTGGAGCTAACTTGACGTTAACACTTGACCTACTTTTACCCTTTGGTCACCATTCAACAAGTTAGACCTGAAATACGTATTTGACATTACAGTCCATTTCCAGTACTTATATGCAAGCATTCGATGATCAGATCACTGCATAAAACTGCCTCAGTAAACTCAAAAACATACGAAATACTACCTTTTCATACGTTGACTTTAGGTAAGAGTACGGCATGTTAAATATATAGCAGCCTAACAAACCTAATTAGTGACGTCATTGCCATATGCCCATTCGGTTGGTCAAAACGCACGGTAACCGTACGTTCAATTCATTCATTCATTTAAGTATAACTACGATCAATGAAACCCACCGGAATAGCAAAGTTCCCCGCTAGTAGCATCGACCATGCAGTGTACCTTACTCAGTAATGACGCCGTATATAAATGTCTACGTGTACACGTAGCAGAAAAAAAGTGCTGAGTTAATTAAATTGAAGGCTAACTGAATCTGATTGGTGGAGACGTGTTTGCTCCAAGATCAGGCCATTTTAAAGTGCCAATCCGTCCAAAAGAAACAGTATCGTTAAAAGCAGACGCTTGGTTAGTCTGCAAAGAAAAAACTAGGCACTTGCTGTTGCATTTTTCTACCACAGTTATGACGCCCTTAAAATGGAATTTTAAATAGAAATAATCTTTAACAGTTATTTTTCTATCTACATGTTAAAACCACGTCATGTGTTTTCTTGATAAACACTACATGAAGTTCAAGTGTTTTCACAATTACGCACATTAACACTGGCCTGGCAATCCTGATAAATGGGACGATTGTTTGGGTCGTTTTACACTGGACTTTACCATTTGGTAAAAGTAGGGAGGGGGGAATAATACTAAAATTTCGAAAACCTTTCTACAAAAAAAAAAAGAAAAAACTCAAATTTTACAAAGTGCCGACTCTAACAACACCCTCTTATTCCAATGGAATAATCTACTGACACTATTAACCCTTGGGGCATTGACCTTAATTTCCCGACCCCGAATGTTTGAAGTGCAGTGCCGTGTAAATTTGTTCACTTTTCTCGGTTTATGTGCACAAAAGGCGACTCCGACCTCACGTAATAAAACAAACAGACGAAGGTGTTCGCGTGAATTGTTGCTGGGAAGGAAGAATTTTTTCTAAACCATGTGATAATTCAATTTATATCAAAAGAAAGTGTCCGTTTTGTAGTCTCTCATTAATCTATGTAATCAATTGGAAAAAAAGGCATTAGAACACATTTGAATGATCTCCAAGCAGATCTTTCAAAGACAGTATGGGCCATTTGCCAGGCAGTATTTGGCTGGCGCAAAAAAGGTACCAATAGGCAATACCAAAAAGACAGGCAGATAGAAACGCCTAAAACACGTCAGAATAAGCCGAAACCTATTTAGCCTATTTAGAGAGTAACCTTTGAAACCGCTCCTACATGTATGTTTGAAAGTTCTTCTCACATACAAGTGCCAAAAATTAAGTGGCGGGCGTTAAACGTCGTCTGATAGCCAAGTACAAAGCGGCGTGCAAATTTGGCAGCTTGTCTGCGGTGGCGTGGTGGTGGTGTGATGTCGGGCAGGCCACCCTGCGGCTATGGCATAGTTTCGCAAGCGTAAGTCAGAATACACAAGTCTACTCTACCTGAACAACATACCGAATTAGGCAAGTACCTACTCTACAAATCCTTGCGTTCGTTGGTAAAGATTGGTAACATGTTTTCGGCTGGTACAAATGATCTCATTGTACAAAGAAAAGTAAGAAAGGACAAACCGTCACACTGGGTGCCTCTAGCCCCTCCCCTTCAATCAGAACCTGTCAATTAGCATACTTTTCAACATTATGTCTTCCTTTTTTGCGTTTAGAAAAATAAATAAATAAAATCCAGTCAGCGCGTCACCCTCGTTAACTGTTCCTAGTGGAATGTTCCAACTTGTTAATTTTGCAGAATTTTGCTGTCGCTAGCACTGAGAGGTACCACAGTCGAACGCTACTCTATAGATATAATTTAGGATGTATGAAGTGTGACTAAGATACACAGGTCACGTCCTGAAGACTGCAGGAGTTCCTTCACGACTGTGGGAGTTCCTTTAAGGCATTGAAGTAGCCTTTCATAAGCTATCTCTGTTTCAGCGCCGTCCAAATAGAATCAAAGGTGAAGCCACTGCTAGAATTCATACAAACTGCAAGGCTGTCCAAAAGTGGTGCCCCTTTTACAAATCATTTACCTTCCAAGACACAACAGACTTTAGGTAGTTAGTGTTGAACATGTGGCAATGGCGGCCTCCTTTGATGTTCAAGTTCACGTGATGCCGGTTTACCTCTCGCGGATGTATATTAACCGCGCGCGTGGTGGTCATTCCCGAGACGCGTGTTACTCTCATGACGAGGGAATGACGGGAATTTTCCGTCACAATACACCGGTGAATGGGGGTAAGGTGATATCATATAAAACCTCCTATACAGGAAGTCGGGACAACAATACCACAAAAGGAACACTTCCTCCGATCACGCATTTTTACTGTGAAGCACGCGTCCTACACGCCCCCGAGCTGTGGACTCAAGTTTGAAACGTAATATTTCATCCGTCAAGAGATACTAAAAATTTCGACGATTTCTAGTTCTAAAATACCAAATTTTTTGGTCACACAAAATGGAAGACGTCAAATATCAACTCAAAACCTTCAAGCACATCATTTTAGTTCAAGATTGAAAGTTTGATGTAACTGTTATGACTCTATGAGCATGACGATACGCTTATTTTTTACACATCCCCCACGATATTTCATGGACTTTCCCTCTTTTTGTTCGAACACAGCGGTTCAAGAACAAAAATCCTTGGCAAAATTCCTAACGTTACATCCCTATTAATTAATTCAAAGATTCTAACATGACCTGATCTCAAGTTTTTTCGAATGGTGCATAAGTTGAGAGAATGAATGAATGAATGAATGAATACTTGCTATGTTATGATATGCTTATCATTTAGGTTATGTTTTGTTTAAAATGTAGCGACATGCTTAATGTTATATAACACATAATTCATAATTCTGCTCCACTTCATCCCCCTATACATTTTTTCCAAAGTAGAAAATGGGACGAAAATTTCATTCATTCACATGTCCATCGAACGTTAACGTTACACAAAGGCTACCGGCACGTGGGGAGGGGGGCTTGAGCATTTCCTCTTTACCGGTAAATCATTTATTTGCTCTTTACAATCAAATTTACACAGCGATAGATAAGTACCTAGTGGACAAATAGAGCAAGGATTTTGTTCAACACGGTGATTGAGTTCGAAAGATAAGATTCGGATAAAGAGGACAAACTTGTCAGATTTTCCTCAGAATCAGAATCAGACGATAACATGTTACAGGGTCACATTGGTGTCATGTTGCCCGGAGGTACAGAACAGACACACACATACCATAGGGCCTCAAAAATATATTTTATACAAAAATTTTACACGATTACGATGAATGTAAAAAGAAAATACGGCGAATAAAATCCGGGATGAACACGGATGTAACATGTTACAGACAGGAGAATACCCGAGCACATGGCTCATTTATCCCCCTTCATGCTTCAGTTCAACACCGCGTCCCCCCAAAATCAATTAAGTGGCGATTTTTTCCCTAACCTGTGGGGCCTTACCTCAGAAACTGCGCTACTGTCGTCCGAAACGCCAGTAGGTGTGTTCCCAGCGAGTCCCGCCCGTGTTCTGACTCAAACTTCCCGGCAGAAGTGTAAATATCCGATATTTGAGGCGGTTTCTAGGGTGTAACATGGGGTGATCGTGACGCACGCTTTGCAAATGCCACACAAAAAGGCCGGTAGTGGGCTCGCCAAATTGGGCGGGACCATTCTCCACGGGGTTGTGTCAGATATATAAAACTTAAACATACACCGCATTAAAAGATTTTATCTTCTCCCATAATCATATAGATAATGATTTAATTAAACAGACCAGTTCTTGTAACGTTTCGTCCTTTTGTTGTTGTTTACGGCACTGGTATCGTAAGTTGGACGAGTCCAAGTCGCCGTGAGATGTCCCGCCGCAGTTCGCAGGATATCACGTGTGGAGGGCAGGGACGGGGGTGTGGCCGCGGTGTGACTATGTCATGACGAAACCGGCGATACATGCCTCGTGGTACGGCACCGACACGACATGTTTGGTGACAGGTATTTCCTCGCTTAGTACGGGATGTCTCTTTTTCCTTAGGCGATCAACATCCGAGAGATCGCCTGGTTTCCAAGTAAACACTAGCGTGTCAATGTGACCGGGCAAACCAGTTCATCATGACCAAATCATTTCCTTCCGAATGTGTTCGAACTAACAAATACCTCACAGCCCAAATATTTAATCACCACCTTTGACCAGACTTTCCTAAAGCTATTCCCTTTGTACTAACCGTCTTCTTAATCAAACACGCTTCTCGGCATTATTTTCTCGTGTAAAATAAAACCCGAGTTCTCGCAAACAAAATTCTTGTCATGTTACACAGTGGACAGCATCTGTATGTGTCCGTCAGGGATTGGCTGGTTGGAGAGTGGCGTGAGAGAGGCGGATAAGGATCACAGGCGATCGATTCGTGTACCGATACGGACCGTAACCTTGGTTACCGGCTATCCTTATTTGTAAACCTTGATTTATTAGTTGACTTGCGTAGCCAATAAAGTGCCTCACATTTCCGCTACAGCGTAAAATGATCCTACCAAGACTAAATGACCGAACGGCCGCGGCGATTCGCGAGATTATCTTTCAAAATGGTACAAAACATTAAAATTAGATCATATATACACACCTAAGATGGGACTAGGTAATAAAGGTAAAGGTTTTCACTTTAATTCATGTGAAGGGTGAAAGATTGTGTTTTATTAATCTTTCTGCATTAAAAAATCCAGGGTACATGAACAAATAGGTCACAGTCCAGGCCTCAGATCTGCTGGCTAGCTAGACAATACACTGAACTGGTATATTAATTATGCAGCAAGTTTAGTGGCTATATGCAGCATTTTCAAGCTACGTACAATAGTAGCAGATCAGGAAGACCCATCTTACCAGTTCATGAACCCAATTTATATCCCCAATCCTGACATAATTAGGTCATAAAGGACAGGACGCTTCCAGTCTATTATTAGACTGTAATTATACCCCATGAAAGGTGAAGTGGGGTGAAACATACAAGAATAGTTTTAACGCGTGCAAAGATTGACTACTTGAATGATATACTATATAACAGTCGAAAATAATGCTATGGGCCACATAAAATTGTAGAAATTATAACCGCAGTCAAGTGTTGATAAAGGGATACAATTACACGATTTAAAGCATTAAGAAATGTGAATGATAGATCACAATGTTTAAGATAGATTGAAAATTGTACTACGTATTACGTGACCTCTTTGAATAGGCGTACATTACCTGGAAAGTATAAAAATGCATAGCATGTGCTTTTGCCAACGCCAGTTTCAGGCGAGAGAAGGCAAAGTGTACGTTTCTGTTCAACCTCTGAACGTAAATGAGAATACATTAATTACTCAGTAAATAAAACAGGTGCTCTACTTGTTCCGTAGGTCCACCTGTCGATCCAGGTGCTAACCCTGGTTCGTACGTGCACCTGTCGATCCAGGTGCTAACCCTGGTTCGTATGCGCACCTGTCGACCCAGCTGCAAAACTTAGTGCCTACGTGCACCTGTTGACCTTGAAGAATGCGAAGGTCACGCATGACTGCCATGATAACAAACAGACCTTGACGATGCAGAAATAGTAGCTGGTGTTCATTGAAAGCTAATAAGTCGCATATATACATAGATAGACGACACACGTCGCGTCCTTAGAAAAGTAACAAAATATTGAAAAAAAATTGTCTAACTTACAACTTCACGACTAACTTGCGTTGAATACACAAATAGCAAATAAACCGACGAAGTTCTGTGGACAAATATGAGAGTTTGACAAATTGTGAGTCGCGGAGGCCTCTCTAACCTCGTGAACAGGTGTGCTGACGACCAAACCTTCAGTTATCGCACTCACGGAAAGAAAGCTCAAATTCTCAAGTTCAAAGACAAAGTAATGACGGAAGTTGGCAACGATACAAAATCTACCAGTCAGATAACTGGAGTGAATGACGTTTGAAATCTCACCTTAATTGTGGTAGAGAAATAAACTGAAGGTTCCAGTTTTTCAAACCCGTTTGCTCAGAGGTCCTGAGAACACAAAATTTCTCACAGGATGTCGACCTGGAAAAAAAAGCCCGCCGGCAAGCCTCGTCCGGCCGGTACAAGCATGGATCAGTTTGTCTTTGCCAGCGTTCGGTGAATGGTTGTTAAATCGGATATCCTTAAGTTTGTAAAGCGGCAACGCTACTTAAAGAAATGTGGGTCGGGGTTCTATTTCAGACGACTCGAAGTGACCACGCAATACAAAGCCCATATGTTATAGGGCTGTGTGTAAATGGAGAGTGTGAAGGATGATTTACGATGTTTCTATAGCTATGGCACATATTATGATATAGGAAATAGTGCATTGTAACAGACTGTTATTCGGGAAAGTATGATTCGTATACAGGTATGCTTCGAAATTAAATGATTTAAGAAGGAACTCTCACTAGCACACCGTATGATTAATATAGACTTTGTACTTTTGAACGATTTGAACTTTTAAACGCTTGACATTTACAGTTTAAAACTCTTTATGTTTCAGGTGAAGCTGACCCTCCCCATTCAACTTTGTGGAATGGTATCACCTGCACACCAGTCTTCACGTGGTGGAAAATTTCCAAACGGGGACTGTTCATTCATGGTCAAGTTAGGGTTCTTTCTTATTGCAAAAAAGCATCTCCCAGTGGTATATACTACATATACGGGATGATTCTATTATAAGAACTTCTCTGCGAGAGTTTTAACGTTTAAATCTACAACATAGTATAACGTTACCAAGACAAAGGCATTTCGGGAATAATTACTAAAAGTGTACACCTGTGACTAACAACTGACTAAATCTAAACATGTAAAAAGTGGCCTGCCAAAAGGCAAGAAAATGACCTTGGTCCTGCGTCAATTAGGTCAGTTGTATCGGTAACAAGGTCACCATATACACAGTGCCTTTGTCTCAAGTAAAAGATCAGTCAGCGGACTGACGTATTACGGCTGCTTTGTGTATTAACCCGCGACAGCTTACAACTGACCGAACCCTTTGTGCTCACATATGCCCCTGAGTCTGAAATATGCAGGTGTCATTGAACTGAAGAATTGAGATAAGACTGTCGCTTTAAAAACGACCTGGTGTCCTTGTTAACGGCTTGTCTGAGATCTAGTGCTGGTTAGGCTGGCTTGTGAATGCATCTAAGTTCTTAATGTGATCTATGGCTCACATGAAGACATTGTAAGATGACATTAAGGTCGTAGACTATCTACGTGATCAGAAGGACACCTAAGGGCAGATGGGTGCGTTTAACAACACGTTTTTCCAGTATGTTACCGAGTCTTGTAGTCATTCTTCCCCTTTCTATTGAACTCGTACACTAAGGTTCCCTTTTTATTTCACATTTTTATAATTACATGTATCACGTTTGGGATATAATTATAAAAGACTATTTATGACAACCTCTGAAGAACAAAAGTTGAATTTTCTCTCAACTGTGACAAATTCGGATCAACAATGACAGAAGTAGTGTATCCATACGTCAGTTATCATCAAATGGTTCTAGCTTGCTCGGAATATGCGACAAAAAAGTGACTGTAGCTAACTACACTTTTTTTCACAGCTGTGTAACGTTCCGTAATGGTGGAAAAACTGAGTTTCGCTAAAAATGTTCCTTCCTATTATTTGTAGACGCAACATTCACACACTCCCATTCGCACCGTTACTACATCTACTTCTAAACGCCATAAGAAACAACACTCGTCATTGGCCGCCCTAATGACACTCGTCATTGGTCGCCAGACGTCTGTGTTGAAAGAACACTACAGATAGACTTCTTATCTTTGTCACGTACTTCACAGACGACTTAACAAACCTCCAGATCTCAGGGTCAAGTGCTTGTACTTGACCCAGACATACATACGTGATTATTTCTTAACCAGACCCTGGTGCCACAAACGTTGTGCATGACGTATTAGAAACGGCGGCAAAATGAAAACTATTCTGGATGAGAAAATCTGACATTGACATTACCTGTTATTTTTAGCCCATTTTTTGTCATCAGCTTATACAACTAGCTCAGCTACGTTTATTTGTTGATACCTCCAATAGATAGCTAGTACCAGCCTACGATACAGAACAAGTAACCGTTCTCTGTCAGTGACATTGCTATCAGTATTCTGAGGGATAAGGTTAATTTAACTCACTATATCAAAAGAGTGACCAGAAAAGTATGTCCACGTTCAAGGTTCAAGAATAGAAATAGTAATCTGTGCAGTGTTGCTCATTCTTATATAATCTCCTTGCGTACTCAGGTCTGACCTTGACTTTGGTACAGGATGGTGCGTATCCTTACGGTTGACATTGATAGATGTACTGCAGACTTTACTTCCGGCGAAGACGGGGGGGGGGGTGTTTACAAAAGAGAACGGCTGGAACAAAGAAGATCTTTGACACAAAAATCATTGTCTCGAGTTTGAGATGCAAAAAAAATTCTGCAGCACTAGAGAGAGAGGATACTGCAAGCGTGCCAACAATCGATCTCCATTTTCAGCCCTGCCCACATACCGAATTCATACATCGGATTTATCCACAACTTCTCGTGTTGCACGATTCACAGGCAAGCAAATCCCTAAAACAACGAAAACATAACCTTCTTGGCGAAGGTA